AAAATCAATCCACCTCCAATCCTGTTTTCAGCAGTTTTCTCAGGCTGCTGTCCAGACCATCGCAAATAATACAAGAAAAAAATAAGAAAGCAACTTAGCTTTTCACCTCCCCTTACAAAAACCCCCAAACTTCAAGGTTGTCTTTTGATAGAAGTAAGGTGTTCTAATGGCCCTACAGCAGCAAAATTGCTACCCATGCAGCGAAACGCCATGGATTCACACTCAAATACATCCAATACTATCTGCATTTGGTATTTCATGGAATACGCATGTCGTCTGGTAAAAACTCAGAAGTGGTGGGCGTTAAACTTCTCAGTGTTTGCTTTTATTTGGAATTTTATGCTACAAAAATTGCATAGCAGACTGAGAAGATCTTATCATTTAACCAGTTAACATAATGAACACTTAAAATGCAGTATTTCACAAAAAAATTAGCTTATCAGCTATGAACATGAACTAAGTTCTCAAATTTTATATCAATTATAAATTCAGAGAACTATACGTGTTAAAGTGCACATTTTACATTCAGCATTAAAATAGGTAAGGCACTTTAATTATTAAAAGATAAAACTGTTATTAACAGGGTTAAACAACTCGATTAAAATAAATGGATAACTATTGCTCATCTGCATTGTAGATGATTATTTTTTCCTTCACCAGAACAGCAATCTCTGCAGGGCAGGAACACTGAAAGAAACGATTGATCCCCCTCCAATATTTACTGAGTAAATAAAAGCAACAACAACAACATAGGAACAAGCAGGGTTTTTTCTGTTCTGTTAAGCATGGAAGACAGCACCTCATGTCCCAGCTCAGGTTCTTATCAAGACAAAAATCCAACTATATTGCGGGCTTTTAGGAAGAAAACAAAATCTGTATACAGAATATGAATATATGAAGAATATGAAGACACTGCATGTCTTCAGACATCTATTGAGACCCACTTTTAGAAAAGTCCTACATATTAAAACCCCCTTACAAATTTCTAGGGAGATTAACGCAGACAGCAATGAGGCCAAAATAGAAACTGGATTCTGCAGTTTCTGTAAAGATAACATTCTGTTTTGTTTGCTGCATAAAGGGGTAAAGCAATACAAAAGAACAGTTAACTTGGAAGAAAAGCTTTCTTCTATAGTTGCAAGAGTCCTTTTTGTTTACTCGTGTCAGGTGTCAAGCGTTAACTTCATGCGCAGGTGAATTTGGAAATCATATTTTAAAGACCCCAAAAATACTTTGAAAATGATCATGCAAGTCACCTTGAAGAATACACAGTTGAACATTTCGGACAAATTATCAAGGTGTAGATCCAAGTAACTCTTCAACTTCCACACAGCTTAGTATTCCAATACTTATTGTTTGTTGTGTCAAAATACAAAACCTGTTCTATTATTCACTTGTATGTTATAGGAGGCACTGCAGAGGACCAACATCAGAGAATAATGTGTGTTCAGTAAAAGATTTCACCTCCACCTTCAGCATTCTGTATTCTTTTTAGCTTCTGTCTTCAGCATGACATCAATTTCTTCATAAACAGCTCTGAAAGAAGAACAGGGTGACTCCTGCATCACAGTCGTTTCATTTTGACAAAATGCACCAATGAAATCCTGCCCAAGCATGAACTGCCAAGAGTTTATAGTGGTTACCTAACAGAGTAGCATCAGTTGCAGGATGCCCAGGTTTCCATGGCAACCAAGAGCCAATCCTGTGGTGGGTCAGTGATTATACATTTAATGAGATACCTCTGGACATTGTCACTTTTGATGAAGTAAGTTTGCGAACAGGACTGCAAAACGCAAATGGCAAGCATAGCACATGGCATGCAATTACTGCACTAATTAAAAAAAAAAAAAAAAGCTTTGTTGAGATTTTTCTACCTCAGAATTCGATGGTTCGTCAGAAATCAGTTTTGTGTAGATGGCTCACATTTTTTGCAATTTACTGGTAGAAAGGAGAGTTCTGCTATCCATTTAGTTTCATATTAGTTTTCTGACTATTTGGCCCTCTGGAGAGCCCCGGCATCCATTTGCTTTTGTATCTTATATTTAAATTGAGGATTTTCTTGATATGCAGTAGAACAACATTCCTAAAAGTCATGATTGCTGCAAACAGGAATTATTTTGGTTACCTTGCTCCAGAACTACCTGTGTTGAAATGTCAATCGGCTTCTCCCACCAGGACCTTTAGCATGTTTTATTCACCTTTTCATATCACTGAATAGGATTTTAGTAGACTGTTTTTGACACAGCATTACTCCACCATTTTTACAGATGCTGTTCAATGAACACACTATAGGAGTTTATTCCTTAATTGGTTATGCTGGAAATATTGGAAGAAAATGTACAAAACACAGCCACTCTCATTTACATTAGCAATCCAGCTGATCAGCTAACTCAGTCTAAATAGTGTGGTCCGTTTTCTCACTCAGAAGAAAAAGCCATCTCAGAACCTTCTTGCCTTTGGCACCTAAGAAAACTTTATTTTAAAAGTTACTTACTCAGTAGGAGCCAAGGGATCAAACTCCATTATCTCGTAGTAATGAGGTGACTGTGACTTATTCTTTGATGCAGCTGAAGAATAAAGACAGGCAGATAAATCCAGATTTAAATGTAAATGAAAACCTTGCTTACTGCACGTTACTTTTTTGTATCTTCCTGAAAGTAGCAGATTATCTCCTACTTACGTAGTTGCTTTAAATGCTAAAATGGACAAACATGTCTAAGAGAAGCCATGAGCAATATGAGATTCTGTCAATGTTTGTGGCTGCTCCTAGTCTTTAACAGCCATTATGTAAAGCCCTTAAGTTCTAACAAGAAAAATATATCTCCATGATAGTTAAGCGGTCTGCAGTATTTATTACCTGCTGGTGATGGTCCATTTAATGATGTAGTATGTCCAGTCTGCAGATTTACTGGATTCAGAGGCACTGGGCTTAAAATAGTCGCCAACTACGGACATCAAGCAAAACAGCGCATAAAGAGATTGTTGTATGAGAACTGGTTTGACTTAGAGAGAGGTAGTGGAGGCCCCATCCCCCCTAGAAACTTACATAACTGCTGACTTATCTTTTGACTCTCAGACTGTAACAGGTAAATTCTAAGGTCAACAGTTATCAATCTAATTAATCTCCATTCTCCACAAAAAGTTCGAAACATCTTTTAGGGTTATCTATAGCACATTAGTATAATTTACTTCTGTGTAATTTGTTACATTACACAGACTCAAAGACCACAGTATTCACAATACAAGTGTCTGCTTTTACTTGAGGTTTACAACAGGGAATGTGCAGGTGTGTTTGGGGGCTGCTCTCATCTGTTTTTATTTCATATTGCCTACCACAGAATAGCATTCAAATTCATAACATTAACTCACAGCCCCTTTATATTCTTTCCATTCCTTCTGTCATGGGTGTTTTGTCTGCAGCATGTGACATTTGTCCTACACTCTACTTGATTTTTAAATGTTTGGGCTTTTTGGTGGGTTGTTTTGGGAGGGAGGAGGGTGTTGATTTTTATTTTTTTTTAATTTCAGATAGGAAATACACCAGAGTAACATAACAGCAGCAGCAGGAGATCTGAGCTTGCTTCACACAGCAACAGATTAAACACAAATAATACAGCAACTGCTTTCTGCAAACTCCCCTGCCATTGTGCTGGACCCAAGAAAATATGCTTTCATATTAGCATCTGTGGTATCAAAAGAGGAAAGGGAAGTTGGCCTGGTCACCAAATACAGAGCGTTCCCTGATGTATGGGGAAGGGCCGCAGAATAGATCTTGGTAGCACATTTGGACAGTAGTTGGGTAAATCCAAACAGTTCTCTTTTTGACAGTTGCCAGCAAAGAACGATTATTCTGAACATGAGCGTTACTCACATTGCTATATGAATGTCCAGCTGGGTTGCTTACGCTATTGTTTTGTGCTTCAGTTGCAAGTCTAGGAGAGAGTAATACATTGAAAGTAACTGAGAAACTATCAAAACTGTATATTCTGATTGCTACATTATTTTTTGCTGGTCTGTCTTTACCTTATGTCACAACTGAGAGCAGCATGGGCACGTGGGCCAGTGTCCCGTTCACATAAAAGGCAGGGAACTACAAGGACACCTCTCCTATCTTAAACTTTTCTTACTGACCTGTACAATTCATCTGTTTCTCCCTTTCACTGCAGCATTGGCAACACTCAAGCAGAAAGTCATATATATGTTTTGAGTGTTGAGATAAATTTGTGTCTATGGCTAATGAGTGCTGCAGGAGTAGTGTATTTTTAAGCATGTTCAGCAATGTCTAGCACACAGGTAGTTTTCTCTTGTTTTACTGGACTAATGTGTAAAAGCAGTAAATCTGTGTTCTCAGAGCTTTCTATAAACTCATTAGATGAATTACAGAGTACTAATACCTCTGAAGATCTGTTATCTGTTATCATTTCTTGACAAGTGATTACTCACGGAATTTGTTGAGCTTTTGTAGTAGTTGCTAAATCCAGCTGTGGATAAATTGATGGATGATGCCTGTTTTTATCTCCAGGGTGTGCAGATATGCAATCTGAAATTGAAAGCAATTAATTAATGATCATTTAAACATTATTAAGCAAATGTTAGTTACTTTTACTATGAACATTGAAAGGGTAAAGTTTTGTTTGGAAGGCATATAAAGAATCTGAAACAAATTGGTGTTTATCACATGAAAGGCAAAATTTTAATAACTCTGAGAAGTTTTTAGATGCAATATATTTAGCTCCTTAAAATGTCAGAACATCATCAGTAGTGCTATATGTGGTAGACACCACTTAACACTCCTTTCACTATTTCTAAAAGATTAAAATGGAATTACAGGCATTTATTCCTGTAGGGGGGAGACATTCATACCTTTAACTTCAGTATACAGACTCGCCTAGAGTGGGTAAAGGAGGGGCTTCTGCAAACAGTAATTCAGGGTACCGAAGTTAGGAGCTTTACTCACTGCTCTGTCTATTAAAGAAGTCTAAAGTTAGAGGAGATGAGTACCTTTCTTAAAGTGAACTGTTCCTAACACCAAGTGCCTCCTGAAAAAAACTTAGGAAATCAAGAGGGTATGAGAAAAGTGTATCTTTGTTTCTTTCTCACAAGCCTACAGAACAGGCAACTACCACAACATTTTACCAGCTCACTGTAATAGAAAACAGAGCACGTTCTACTGTTCAAGCTTAAGTAACGGGAAAAAAGATTATTGCTTCCACTGTAAACAAATTACAGGGAACCTTGTACTATCTTACTTTTTTTTTTCCCCCTACGTAGACAACAATTCTCCTGTAAGGAGATTTAAGGAACATCCTTGAAGTTAAGGAGTATCTTTGTTTTCTTTCTTACAAGGAACTTCTTGATTCCTCCACTAAGCTCTTGTTGGTTTGCTTTAGGAAATGAGACCACAAGGGAAACGTGCATTCATCACTTACTGAGGTCTGAAGGAGACACTGCAGAGTCAGTTTGCACCACTGCTGACGCAGGAGATGGAGAGTCTATGGACAGGTCAAGTAGATCACTTGAGGGAGCAGATGGCTGTTTCCTGTACAGCTTAACATTTGAAAAGGAATAAAGTTGTTTGGGGTTTTTTTGGTGTTTGTTTTGTTTTTTAAAAAGGAACTTGTATAGCTTTAAACAACTTGCTATTTTCACAGAATAGAAACCTTTAAAATAATAATACTAAAAATTGGCAAGTATGAGAGAAGACCAGGATTTTTGTGTGTGTGTGTGTGTGTGAAAGATAGCTAATGAAACAAAAAGCGCTTTCCAGATAAGATCACTTTCAGCAAGCTTGCTATTTCAAAAAATTAAGGAAAAGCATTCTGAAGTAGGAAATAGAATGGACTGAATTCTAAAAAGCAAGTCGTGAGCTTGTTTAGATACGGGTTTTGTTATCGATCTTCTGATTGATCCTGCACAATTATTTTCATGCTACTTATTTGTGTTACTGGGATTTGATACATACTTAGAAGATTTCCTGTCCAAAACAGGACTGAAAAAGTCGAAGTTCAAAATCACAATGTTGTTTCCTAGGACAAAGGGTTCCCTTTGTTTCTCCTGTGAATGTGTTAGAATTAAAAATGTAGCCAAAGATTTTAATAAAACCGCAGGCTTGAATCATACAGGTTTGGTCACACCAGATTTAAAAAAAAAAAAAAAAAAAAAAAAAAGACGATGCATTTAAGCTTGGAGACTCCTGAATAATATAAAAATGCACAGACTGCACCATTTGGACTATTAACTAATCCAACAGTGCATTCATCAAGCAAAAATATCCACCTACGTAGTGGCTTTTCAAGGAAAACAAGATCGTCTTCTACCTTTTTTTAATAGTTGTCAGCTGTTTTTCTGCATTCACAATGCAGTCATTTTCATTTTGAGTCCTAGATGACTACACAATTATGGCTTAGCAGAAGCTGAAACATGTGCAAAACTGCTTTGGGCAATATAATTAACAACCATAATTATCAATCAATAAAGGATAGTCGTTAAAGATTTGCTACAAGCCATTATTCACAATTCAGAAAAAAACATCAGTAATAGTGAATTCCGATAGCGTAACAGTATTTCAGTCTATAAATGCTTAACAGAGAACAAATGAAAAGAAACTCTATGGTTCCTCATTTTGTATGGCAGATAATAGCGCTTAGCTGTAGAGGTAACAAACCAGCATTTGAATAGATCGATCTCTCTCATTTTTTCTGATCAAGCTTCCATCTTAGATTTGACATTATTTGCTACTTTAGTTACATGAATTCGCATGAAATTCTGCAAGTGAGACTTCAAAAAAAATCAATTAGAGTAGGATCAGCCTGTTGTCTCCTGTGCCTCTTAACTAGAGAAGAAAATTCCGCGTATATCAAGTGTATTTTTCACAATGAACAGAGAAAGGAATGTTTATAGTCCTACAGTTCATCTATAATTACTCACCTCTGTGCGTTCACGTTGTATTCTCTGATTCTCCAAAAAACGAACTCTGTTTCGAGAGAACCTGTTGAAGATGCAGAGTTAAATGTTCATTCTGGCATTTCTGTGATGTCATCCACAAGAATATGAAACCAGTTCTAATTCAAGTTTGATTATCAAAAGACTCCAGAAGTGCCACACAAGCACTACAGGGGCTTTTCGCTGGGGCACTGGTCTCTGCACTAGCAATTTGACTTGCTCTTCCCCAGGGCTGTGGTCCTGATCGCCTATACTAACACCAGTCAATTTGTTCTTGGGCTCACTTCTGGAGACAGCCATTTGTTTCTTCCAAAACAAAACCAAGGCACAGCCGACAATAAAGTTTGCCTCTGTTCATGCCAGGTGGGTGACTATGAACACGCACTGTGCCAAATGTGGCTCCTTCCGACCAGAACACTCTTCCAGCTGAGTCCCAGGAAGCCTTCTGTCCTCAGAGGTCCCGCACATTCCCTCATGCCGTCTCAGGACAAACCCCGTGCCTATTCTTGAACACAGCCCTCTCATTAGTTCAGGCATTTGAAATAATTTTTTTAAAAAAAAAGGAAACCAGAAAATCCACCTGCACAAATATTTATGTACTGCGAGGCATAACAGTGCTACACTGGGTCCAGAGGAGACCCAGTCAAGTGATATTCAGCATCCATAAGGTCAACCTGTTCCAGAAGAGCAAGCCCTAAGTGGTACAGACATGAGACTGTCTACAGAACTGCATTTGCTATTCAGGGTTACCATACTGGTGAGACCCACAAAGAGAGCATATGCAGGGAGGAACAGAAGAAAAAAAACCCTTTCCAACTGCAGAATATAAATGTTTATCTGAAATACAGGAAGAACTGAAAAGTTGCTAGAGCCACTAGAGGGAGTTGTCATTACATACATGAGGCCAGTTTATTGCACAATGGCAATTGCTCCGGATTTAATTTGGACTCTATGTTAATAATCAGAAACAGAGAATGCAGCGTGACTTGTCTTCAAACAATACACGTAGTACAAAATGGACACAGCTAGTTACGATCAGTTTGTCCTTTATACATCTCATTGTTCAGAGGGAGTTCCAAAAAACAAATCTTCTGCAACAAACATTAACCAAATACATTTTAATACTTATCAACTCTGAAGTGCAATGCATCCGCACCCCAGAAGACTCATTAGATAAAAACCATAACATGATAGTACTAAAACACAGTAGTTTTCTGTCCAGTTTCACAATGGCCAATTAATTGCTCCTTCGATCACCAGGTGAGTCTTTCATAAGGAATTTATTGAATTATACCCACAAGCTACTATTTGTAGTTCAAGAAGTTCTTGACCTTGCCAGTACTCATCAGTCATAACAAAAATGTAAGCCCACATCTGGCTTCAGTGGATTTACAGAAGCTGAACAGAATTCTATTTTTGCTTTACTAAAATGAAAAACTTCCTAAAGTAAGATGTGAGTATGCAATTATTTCAAGGCAGTTGCTGTAAAATATGCTAACACTGCTGTAGACACAAGATTTAAGGATAAATGAAAACTAAATGTTGTCAAGGTTAGGCCCAAAGTTTGTGCCATGACACTTAGAAGAATTAGCGATATTTTCAGTGCAGCATTCGGAAGAGGTTTAAAAAGAAAAGATAACTCTCTAAATCTTTTAAGTCTAATCATGAACCATTGCACTTGATGCATAATGATTTCTAGAACATTTTTTAGCCACAGAGGAGATAAACTACTTAACATGGAAGGCTAGTTCCTGTTAAACCACAATACTCTCCATGAGTATACTCACTGTGGTATTTTGGGGGATAATACTGGAATTTTGAGTTCAAAATTAATTTCCGTTTTGCTAGCACCTAGTCATGCTACCAATGACATAACATATGAACGCACAGGATGTCAATGCAAGCACTGTGGTGCTTCCATGTGTGAAAGAAATAAATATTTTCTGCTGTTAGACAAGTAGAACAGCGTGTTTCAATCCAGCTGAGAAAACCAAGCAACTCTCTTAAGCATGCAAAGAAGCAGAATGCTATTCCATGGCCAATTTCTGCAGTAAAGCTGTCAAAGTTGTTTAGAAAAGAGAACAAGTATTCTTTCCTGGAAGCATATACACTTAACAGAGATAAGGACCATCACCAGTACCAAAGGGTTTGTAGCAGACTGATGACAAATTCACTGTGCAGTACCAAAAAGGAATGTCAAATTCCAAAGTGATTTTTGTTTACGTGCCTCCATCTGGTTTCCTGTCTATACTGTTAACTTGTTTTATCCCATTCTAATGGTTTTCTAACCACCTTTATGGACCGCTTCTGAAGTGTTTAGGGGAAGGCAAATACATAATTTTCTCTTTTTGAAATCATGTTTCTTTTCTGGATTTACAGTTAAAATCTGTCTCCTTGTGGAGGATCAACATTAGGTGTAGGGACCGTCTGTATCCATTAAGTGTGCTTATTCGGTTAAGATACCAAATGTGAGGAAAGAGGCCCTGTACTTACCTTTCATGTCCCAGGAGGACATTATTCAGATCTTCATTTACTTGTATTAACTCAGCTATCACATCTTCATTCTCCACTGTCACCAACAATTCCATGATCCTCTCCTGCATCATCCGACAGGTCTTATACAGTTTCTGCCCAAGGGAGGGGAAGAAAAAAACCCAAAAAATCGTAACTGCGGTCTCCCAGTTTGTGAGTTCTGGAGAAGAATGATAAGACACTTGAGTGCTGCAGACTCACACGTAACATTCCTTAATTTATACAAACCACATGCATACCAAACATTGCAGATAGTGTAATTTTCACATCTTTGATCTCCACAAGGCAGGTTGACAACTCCTATCATCACAGCCAGCAATTCTACCCCTACCCAATCCCGACCTTTTGACCCACCTTAATTTCTAAAGATATATCTGTGTCTCAAGTCTAAATTACAAATTGAAAAATAATGAAGACCCCTCTGGGTGATGCAGAGCAAATTTGATTTGATCCTGTTTGAAGCGGATTAAACTCAGCAGGATGCTTTGCATGAATGTAACGGATGCGACCCTGTTCAACATCTGCTTGAAGACAAGACAACAGTAGTCTAAAGGACAGAAGAGCTCTGTGACGCAAGTCTGTAGCTCTAACTATTCCTCTAAGTGGGGAAGTTTGGATGAATTAATCTATGCCCTTTTTGAGAAAGTAACACAAACCTAGCAGAATCAGCTGACAGGAGAATTCTGAGAGTTTACTGAGCAGAATTTGGCATTATTGCCAGTTGAAATGGAAGATAGTTTATTTATATTCCTCTCCTCTGCAGATTTTGCATGTTCAAAGACACAAATTCTTTAGCAACAGGAACTTCAACTCAGCCAACATTTTTTTTCCCCCACAGTGCATTTGCAAATGCTGGCTGGCTCCGCTTAAGGAAAAAAATCAAAAGGGGGAAAATTACTCTATTTGCACACTGCTATTCAGAAATCGCTCTGGTATTATTTTCAAAGTGATCTGATTTTTCCACAAAAAACCCATACCTAATGTAAATAAATTATTTTATTTATGTAAAAAGAAATTTTGCACCCGTTTGCCAAATCTGCATAAGGATTACAGAGTACTGTACCTTTCAGTACTGTATCTTCATAGCCCAGGATAAAACACACAAAAACGTATTCCATTTCACATCTGTAATTAAATTTAAACCTCTCCAACTCCACACATTACTGCCTGATCCGCATTTAAAAAAATGTGTATTTCTTATGGCTCCGTTATACAGGCAGACTAGCTCCTTTGTAAACGTCAATATTCAATAGAGAAGCAAACTGAGACACTTGTTTCAAGCATGGATTTGCTAGGCTATGCTCCCACCCACAATGATGCATGCACTCATAGGTTTTGAAAACTGGAGTTTTACAATGATAGGCTACCAGCTGGTATAACAGTCATCAGTAATTCCAATGAATTCGTGCTAATTTTTACCAGCTGATGATCTGGACCCAAATTCCTGCATGCCCATCAAGTATCTCTATTCACTGTGCAGTACAAAAGTTTTCTACTGTTCTTGGCTGACACTGAGCTTTAGCTATTCTTTAACTACTGTTACGGGTCAGCACAGTATTTCAAGTGAGATCTGCTATCTTAAGCCTTGTCCAAAACAGGGTGGAGAAAGGGAGTAGCCTAGCCACTAATGGAGCTACAGAACTAAAAATATGTTGCACTGATAAAGTTTACCCTGTTACAGTTTTAATTGAGAATGCCAGATAACCACAAGGACTGAAATTAACGTCTCCAACTCACTCAAAGCCTAAACAAGCAGCTCTTTACAATAAAGGACTTTGTTCTCTGACAACAAAAGCCTAATTCAAGCAATCCAGGTAGAGCTACAAACAAAAGAGAACATGAAACATTGTTAAAGGAACAGGCTAGCCATGCTTGATGCTTTATACCACTCAGTGCACAGGGAAAAAGAACAGAAAGAACAGCAGCAAAATTAACATAGCAGGAATATCTCCCACAAATGGGAACTCCACACCCTGTCCTCAAACTTCTGCCAACAATTTTATTACTGGGAGCGTCAATAAGAATCCACCGGTTTACTGTGGGCAACCTAATCCGCGCACTCACATGCAGAAGGGCCATAGTAGGGGACAGGAAATGAAAGACATACTTTTCCTGTTTTGCAACCAAAGACACTCACCTTATCATGGACTGGACAGAGATGGCCAAGTAGATTAGACCAGTGTATTCTCCTACCTGGGGTATCTTTCACTGGTTGGTTAAATCATCAAGGCAGTCTGCACCTTGGCAACCTCCCTGGTGGCAGTCCCACTACAGAAGTAAAGCATTGTCCATAGAACAGCCACAGATTAGCTGGTAGCGTCCACTGCTGGAACAACCTATGCTCAATCCTTTAGTGCAGGCAAAGCAAGCCCTCCGCAATCTATTGCAACAGCTGTTTGCCTTGCCTGTGTTTAAAGTCCACTCTGCTCAGATCCTTGCTTTACAGGCCCTTCCTCCTTGGACTTAGAGCTCCACAGATCTCTGCAAAAAAATCAGTGTTGGAGATGCGAGGCATTTCCAGGGGAGCAAAAACCACTGAAAGCTTGCATCTGTCTCCTATCTGGTTCCCCCAGACCAGCAAGCACTGCCTGTCATTAAAGATGAGAGACACTGGCAAACTGCTGCTGTCTCTCCATATCTCACCTCCACTTGTGAGCCAATCCATAAATGGACACAGCTGAACAGCACGACCTTGGAGGCAAACCAAGAGCACCCAATAAGGGTTCCTTGCAAAGGAAAAATTCTCCACTGAGCAAGAGAAGCACACCAAAGGCTTGCAAAAATTAGGTAAGTTCTCCAACACATTTAATGCTGACAAATTACCAAAATGCTTCCTCATCATAGAAGTTCAGAGGCCAGTTTAGAAATGGAAGGATGAGATAAAAGCTTTTTAAATTCTTGCAGAAATATGAAACAGAAAAATGTCCATTGACATAGGTCACTACTGAAATGCTAAAGTAATACTGCATTTTTAATTTCTGTCCTGGTTTCAGCTGGGATAGAGTTAATTTTCTTCCTAGTAGCAGGCACAGTGCTGTGTTTTGGATTTAGTAGGAGAAGAATGTTGATAACACGCTGATGTTTTAGTTGTTGCTGAGTACTGCTTATGCTAGTCAAGGACTTTTCAGCTTCCCATGCTCTGCCAGGTGCACAAGAAACTGGGAGGGGGCACAGCCAGAATAGTTGATCCAAACTGCCCAAAGGGCTATTCCATACCATATGATGTCATGAACAGTATAGAAACTGGGGGGGGTTGGCCGGGGAGCAGCAACCGCTGCTCAGGAACTGTCTGGGTATAGGTCAGCGGGCGGTGAGCAATTGCATTGTGCATCACTTGCTTTGTATATTATTATTGTTATTATTATCATTATTATATTGTTATTATTATCATTACTATTTTACCTTATTTCAATTATTAAACTGTTCTTATCTCAACCCAGGAGTGTTTCTCACTCTTACTCCTCCAATTCTCTCCCCCATCCCATCGGGGTAGGGGAAGTGAGCGAGTGGCTGTGTGATGCTTAGTTGCTGGCTGGGGCTAAACCACGACAATTTCTAAAATAGAAAATACAGCACGAGCAAGCAGAAGAAATGACATCACAGAAGGAAGAATGTCTGCATGTTCACTGTCAAATCTAAACTGGACTAGTGCAATACACTTCCTTCAGGCTACACTTTAAGAGCACGTGGATTCACCTATAGCACAGCAGGCTTCCAATCTTTGAGGTCACGCACATAAAACCAATGCTTCATATTCTTCACTGGCCTTCAGTCTGCCTTTAAGGTACTGGTAATAATAAAGAGAACACTGAAAGCTCCAGGACGGATACGAGAGAGAGACTGTGTCATCATCTGTTTTCCCCACAAGGCAACTGCATTCAACTGGAATGTTCTCAGGGCTGTTTGACAGAACATGCTTAACAGAGAACACTCTATTATGAAATTCCTTTGCCCTTGGAATTCCCTAGAGCTTAAATTTGCATTGCAAGCTGTATTCCCCTTTTCTGACTATCTAGATATCAGGGGGAGGTGAAGGCAAGAGGAGAAAGCTGAGCAAAACCCAAGACAGAAACTTGTTGTTGGATTCCATTTGGCAATCTGAATCCAGATGTTACAAGAAAAGATACAACATATTTTAAAAATCAACTTTGGCCAAACCAAATCAATAGCCCCTACCAATGAATTATCGCATACCTGTAAAAGATTCATATCATCCGGATTTTCAGAGCCAGGAACATTTTCTTTTAATATTGAGGACATGACTCGCACATTCATTTTTGCCATATCCAGTTCACTGTACAGTTTTGCAATCTGTTGAGTTCAACAGAACAGAATATTGTGTAGGTGAACAGAGTGAGCAGAATAATTCTTACCTCTGAGACGTACTTTCTTCCCCATTAGGTATAATATGGGCCTAATTAGCATTATTTTACTCCGGTGACATGCCATGAAAATGAACGGAATTAGCTCAGCTTTTATATGTGCAATTAAACTAAGATCCAAGTCTGATAGCACTACTCCTTCTCCTTACAGTTAAGCCCTCTCACTAATGTTACTGTTACTCTTTTTAGTTACCTGCAGGCCAAGCAGGACCAGAAGTGAACTGTCCTTTCCTTTCTGCTTTTTAGAATATCTCTTCACACAAGCCTTATGCAAAAGTAAGTTTTACTTCAAAGGTAAGCGAGAAAGCCACTTTTATCAATTTGCGTAACAGAATCGTAAAAGATCGTTAGATATTCTCATGCTTGAGAAAATGATTCCACTTTCTGGCTGAGGTACAGCCTGGCATTTATTGAACTCACTTCTGCCTACTTTGCTTTGGCACACCACCATATAAAACATCTTCAGGAGAACGAACCTAAAAAGCACGAATATAGAACTACGCCACTGGAACTGATGGTCCTTTCTAGTGGTCTATGCACCCAGGTTGTCGAAATCACATGTTACCAGTACATTTCAAGTGGACCCGCCCTGCCTCTAAACCTGTAGTACTGCACCTGCTCAGGAATCAACAATAACGTTGGGCCTGTGGGAAGAGGCAGCAAAGAACGTTTTGCAGGATTAGCAGAAGATGGCAATGACTTTGTAGAAGGCTGAGATGAAGCCTGCGGGAAGACAAAAGAGCAGAGCTTGGGTTTAACAAAAGAACTGAAGCAGAAATCTAGATGAGAGTGCTACAAAACACCTTTGTCAGACTAGACAACTGGGCATTAGCTTTCTCATAATCAACACTCCCAGGGAACTTGTTGAGCAAGGTCTATTTACAAGAATAAATCTAATGGCTATTTTGTAATGAAATGAGGCTTGGAATTCGGGTATCTTTTAAATGGGTTTACAAGTAAATTCTGTGGTTTGAAATAAAATAAACTATTATATGGGCCAGGTTTCTTTGTTGTTATCTTAGCTGCTATAATTGAAACTGATTCCTGCTCAAGTGCTTAAGTAGGTTGGTCATATTCGCCCCTGGAGCATTTAAATAAATAAACCCCCAAACAAACACACCTTCTTTGTCCACAGAGCTCATACAATTAACACATCCTGTTTCTGATTCACAACAGTTATCCTTGTGTATCCCCACCTTAGGTCCCCCTCTGCTGGTGTCAGAAGATGGAAACTCCACTCCTTTCTTCCGCAATTCTAGATAAACTTCTTTTACTTCGCTCACATCCACCATTCCTTGGAAACCTCGGGCCCACGTCTAGTTTTGAAATAACAGGAACATTAACAGTCAGAAAAATGGACAGTCAGCAGGTCAGACAAGCGCTTCTAAAACATGTGGTCCTAAAGGCAGTTCATTCCCTCCACCCACTCCAGCTAACTCCATCAAAGCAGCAGGAACCACGAAAGCTCCGAAGTTACCTCTCATCCTGCTTGCTAGGTGCAACCACAGAGGGAGCACACACACAGACTGGGAGGGGAATACAAAACGTGGAGGCTGCCAGTTTTCCAGTTCTCTCCCTTGGTCTTCCAGTCTGTGCTACTGCTGCATGAAGCAGGAGCAGCAAGAATAAAGTCTGCTTTAGGAAGAGGTTCCCATGAGTATGTTACAGTACAGAAATGGGCTGCATCATTAAACGTTTACCATATAGCAGACACACAAACGCTTACTGTTTACTCCAGACTTACCATGATATAGGTCAAGATTTTCTCCTGCATGTCAATCGGCAGATTGTATCTTGGATTCAGTAGTTTCACCAGCTTGTCTTTACAGAAATCTTTCTTCACAACTAAAGACTGGAACCTTGGGCCACAGTTCTCTATACACATGTCAAGCAGCTGCACACACAAAAAGCTTCTGTTACACAGATACTAGGAAAAAAACCCAACTTGACTGCTTTTGTTTCCTTTTGTTTAATTTGTTCCAAGGTGTTATGGGGAAGAGTACAAATGAGTATGAACAGATTATTGCCAGCTATCTCACTAGAATGTCTGATGAGGTTACTACAGGGAAACAGTAGCTCAGTGTGTGCACTGTTATACCTACGCAATACAAAATGAGATGTGTTAGCCAGAGTCATACTATTTTTAACAGAGAAGTATAGTTACACTTGTTTCCATGTCACAGTGGTTACTGAACGTATGGTACCTTAACAGCATGAAATCTGTCCATAGCTTAAAAACTGACTTGTACAGATTCAGTTAAGAGAATTAATTCACTGCCTAGCACATAGGTACCCTGGTCTGACAGATTCTGAAGAGCTCTACGAAAGAGGAAAATAAGATTACTAAACGCCTCTCTTCTAATCTGCCCTGTAAGTGAGAGACTAATGAAAAAATAGAAAAGAACAAATTCAACAACTTGGAGTACAATTTCTCCACATGTTTTAAAGGTCACACTGATTTGAAACAGAGTAGCTGAATTGTTCCAATTGTCACATTCATCTTCACGGAAGAAGTCTACTTCCAAAACTCTGCTTGCAATGCTCAGAGTAAGATCCTTGTAAGCAACACGTCTGCCCTATCAAATATAGCAGTGTGTGATAATGACACAGTACTTCCCTTGTACACCTGGAGGTGGCTGATTACAATTCCCATTTTACAGAAGAGATATCAAAAGCTGTCACTTCGTCCCAGTCACCTGAAATCAGACCAGTACAAGTCTTGATAGGAAACTGGGGTCAGTCAGACCAGGTGCAGAATCAGGAACAGAAATCATCTTGCCTGGCTCAAATCTGGAGATCGACCACAGGACTACGATACCCCATGTAGAGGAAAACAGTCACTCTTATGCTTTTTGCTCGTCAACCATATCTTTACTTTCGCTCCCAATTTAAGAGGGAAGATGGAAAGCGGAATGCAAAGGGCAGCAATTAACAAAAGTTTGCAAAATTTCATGGTTTGAGACAAAACTTCCCCCAAATCATGCAACAGACAAGATATATTCTCAAAACAATACACAGATTTTAAGGATGCTATTGTAAGCTTGATAAAAGTAGATTAAATATACTTTCCTATTCAGAACAGACTATATTTGACTAAGTTGAAATCATTTTAGTAACTCATTTTCTAGCCTCAGGACTTGGGGATTTTTCTCCCAGTGTGATCGGGAACTTATGGGAGAAGAGGCTTAAAACCAGAAGAAAATATATTGCTGAAATGAAAACAGGGTAGAACAAAGAGACACTGGCAGACTGCTGTGCGAAAAACTAACTGAGAGATAATTACAAAAAAATCTTGGCTCGTACCATTATTTTTCATTTGAAAGAGTACATGAAACTTATGCTAATAAGCCAAATCATTTGCCTGTGCAGTACTTCAAAGATGGTCTGTGTAAAACATTTTCAACCCAGTGCATGGGAAATTTAGTATGCTACTCCCTATTATTAATTCCCTACTTAAGGGACCGAGTATTTACTCTCTGAATAAAAATACCGAACTAATGGGCTAGACCCTCCACTCAATTATGCCAATACAGCCCACTCACTTAGACTGAAACTAAGCTGGTGTAAGAAAAAGAAGAGTTTGACTCAATTATTTTTAACTGGACCATTCATGAACAAACCACTTTCATGCTAATAACACCTTTCATTAGAACTTCAATATGGTATTTATCCTTGCAAATAGGACTTCACCTTCCCAAGCAGTTCCTTTGGAATGAATAGATCCAAGGTGGCCAAGTCAACCACTGCTCCACATAGCACATTGGAATCTCAATAGAAACATGTTTTAATAACAGAACGGGCAAATTAACTTCAACCAAACCATTAAACTTCCTCTAAATGACCGTCAGGACCTGAGAACTGTTGGAACTGACAGAGCTGCTATGTTCCAGGCTAGCTGATACCAGACATTCAGCTGAGAAGAGATCTGCACTGAGGAAAAAGGAGGGTGAATTGCACAAAGCTCTCTGCAACACAGAACTAAAATGATAAAAGACATCTGAACAGAGGCGAAGAGAAACTGTAGGGCAGAAAGTAAAAAGGGAGAAGTTGGTGGGGATAACAGAAAGTCAACTACATTCCTTTATAAACAGAGACCTCGCTCGGAATTCAGTAGGACTGTCTGCTCATCTAAAGCAGCCAGGTATGGGCCATAGAGTTGTAATGAATGGATGTAGTTTGTGATGGATACTTCTCAGACCCAAGGTGAATGCAAGAAAACACAGATGAACAGTTTGCTGCTTTGTGTTTCTGACTCAAAGTGAAAGAGTCATTAATCCATCTCCAGGATTACACTCTATGAAACATATACTGATGTCTAGACAGTAGTTTTTGAACAGAAAGACGCTATTTCCAAATGCCAGGATTTAAAAAAAACCTGTACGAGCAGCTTTTTCAGCTGCAATTCATCAATTACAGTGTAGAGGCTATATAGACTTTACCAAGATTCTACATTTCAAAAGTACTAATTTTTCAGAAGTCTTGAATTTTTCAGATTTTTTATATATATAAAAAAACCATTGAAATATGGATTTCTTTTGCTCCCACTCAATGTCCTTTTTCTTTTCCTCTTTACCCATATATAAAGTGTAATAAAATTGACTAAGACTTTTTCGATTGAGGAGCTGGAGGGCTCCCTCATGTTTTTGTTTTTTAGACCCTCTGCTTTGTGAAATGTTAACAAAGGAAATCTGAAGGCCACATTTGCCATGCTAATTTTTTTTTTACATCTGAAAACTTACAGAATATTAAAAGGAAAAACAGAAAAAAGCCTAAGGCAAAAAAAAACCTCCAAAATTTAAATCTAACCAATGACTTCCTTTAAAATATTTTCAAACAATGTAATGCAGAAATGAAACAATAATTCCACCTTAAATTTCTGCCCACTGCTTTGTATGTAAGAGTGTGTGTGTGGACGCAGGTACAGAGAGGGAGACATTCAATAAACTACTTCCCCATGTGATGTTCAGTTCCTAAGACCTTACAGGCATCAGGACTGGGACACTGCAGCAAATGCTTTACAAAAGCAAGGGAGATCTACAGAGACAACTGAACAGGTGCCTCAGCATTCACTACGTAAACAGAGTTTACGTATCCAAAGTCTATTAGTAATAAGAAGTCAAATAACACACGCTTTGTTGGATTCCAGCCTAAAAGTTCTCATCATCTTCACCCTGATTGCAAAATCACCACTGCCAAGCCGGATCTCTTGGCTTTATCAAAGACTGTGCGTGAAGCAACTTCATGGTCTGACACACATACACCTCGATCCACGTGACTTCACAAGCACCAGGTAACTTCAGTACATCAGAGTACATGAAGTCAAGCCATAGCCAACACATGATACAGCTGGCACTCACCCTTCTTCCTCCAAGTAAATAAATAAGCATCTGTGAGCCAGGAGGAGGAAGGCACTGTTGAGATTTAACACACCTCGATGACAGAATCGAGGCTAACACGTTCAGTTGTGCTACTTCAGATGAAGACTTTCACATTTTGCTCTGCGTGTATTCTCTAGGAATACACTCCCTAAGCAGTTTCATTAGAAAGATTAAATTCCAGAATTTCAAGGTTGAGTAAATAAAAGTGGATCAAAGTATGTTTCAAAAGAAAACTGATTTTCAGATCTGTTACCTTCTTAGTTGTATCTAATGTAGGTAGGAGAGACAATTTGATGTAGAACCTCAAAAGCTGGAGGATGACATTTACTGTAGGAAACACAGGCAATAACTTACAGTTCATCAAAAAAGATGATTTTTTGTAGAAATCTGGGAGAAAAACAATTTTTAAGAGGTAAGAGTTGCGGGGGGGGGGCTTGTGTTTTAGGAATTGAAAATTATTTCTGTTTTTCTATTTGCAATGATTTACTGTTCCAATCTCATTAAGGCAATCAAGACCCCAAAACAGAAGACATAGCACATAGAAAGACCGATTTGGGAACAAAGGAGTCAGAAGTCATACATGGTCAGCAATGAGGTCATTGCTAAGATTTTACACATGCTAAACTGATGGCAGTACTGGTAGAAAACCAGACAAAGGAAAGGAGCCAGGGGCAAAAGGAGAGGCAAAGGATGGAAGATCTTACATAAGAACAAAAGCAGGAAGAGAGCTGGAGGAAAGGTTGGCACTTTAAAAAAAAAAAAAAAAAAAAGAAAAAAAAAGATTAAAGAATTCAGGGAGAAGAAACCTGCAGTCAGAAAGTAGAAACTCGGCCAAAAGGATGTGATTGCCTGGCAGGCACAGTTACATGTGTACATGTGAGTCGGTGAGAACAGACATGGAGAAGGGGCCTCGAATGGAAAAGAGACTGTGAGAATGTGCTGAACTACAAGCACAACTGAAACCTCGTCCACACTCCATCTATGAGCAAATACAATGAGCTTCCAGGTCAACATGATAAAGCTCTTCCTTGGGTATGCCTGAAACAAGATCCTTCTCCCACTTTCACGTTCTTAAATCATAAACTATAACATCACCTTGGGTGTATCTGCAGAGTAAATATCCAAAGAAAGGCTCCTAAATCTAAGCAGTGGGTTATCCTAACTCCAGCTGACTGTGTCAGATACTCAGAAAAGGACCTAGGTGCACAAAGACTGTAGGAGAAAGAAAGCAGATCTGATAGAGGGATTGCAATTACAGCGGAAACCAAGTGTTTCTGTTATGCAAACACACAGCACACACAGAGAGGTGACTCATGAGACAGTGGAGGAGGAAGCCAGGAAAGAAGTGTGGAAATGGAATGAGCTGAAGGTATACATCGGTATGTTTAACACACTTATCTGCATCTCTAACTTGTCAGGAGACACTTGGGCAATTGTTAAGTGACCTACAATTGAACACTATCAATTGCCTATATTCCTTAATGACTTCTCAGCACATATTGATATAATGATTTTGCACAACAAATACCAAACCCATGAGTAATAGTACTCAGAGCGTAATGCAGACAGGCCTCTGCAACCTCAAAAAAGGAAATGGTGAAGAAAATACTTCTAGACAAATAATGAAAGACACAAATACTGACCAACTGAAAACACAAACTTCTTCTGAGATTCTTCTCACAGTTATACTATTGTTAGTCAAGAGTAGTTCAAGTGGGGAACTCTGGACTTATGACAGTGTTAGGAACTCCCTGCTACTGCCTACATTATCAGTGTAGTAGAAAACAGAACTATGTTAACATACTCCAGTAAATCTTAAACTGACTGAAATCACAGCACTTCTCCAAACTCTGGGATAGTTCAGAAACACTGTCAAACTCTGGAGGCCAGGTTATCTCAAATGAGGATATTCCCAGACACTCCAACCTTTACTTATAACATCTGAACCTTATGTGGCTTACCCTGCATCTTGCTCCCTTGCTTAACTCACCACTGTTACCCTTTCATTCAAGTTTCTCATTTATACACAGTAACACTTACCTTTACAAAACAGGTGTTGCACATTCCACCACACTGCATACCATGCTTCGTTTAACTAAGATCAGTACCACAAAGTGAGTAATAGAATGGTCAAATTTAGCTTTTATGTAATATCCCAACCTCCGTATCTTTCACAAACAGGTGGGGCACTCACAGAGGCACAGTCACTTGAGTAAATATGAACTATACTACTTTTACGTAGTACGGGTTTAAAAAAAAGAAAGCAACAATAAATTTAAGACTCTATGGAACGCCAGTAAACCATCTGATCTGCACTGTGGTAGTGCTGTACACACAAACAACAAAGACAGAAAACATCCCAGAGAGTTGTGTCAGTGATAATTTGCATGCCATCTTATCGTTTAAAATGTTTTCCTTCTTAGTGTCTAATTAATATAAATATAGCTGTACTTACAGACAGGGTAAGCCTGATTTCCTTATGGTTACAGTTTTTTGAAAGCTTTTTCTTTAGCGCTTTAACTGCATCTTTAGGCCTGTGACAAGAAATTAAGTAGAAAAAGTTACCATTGAAGTTAGACTGTTTTTCTAGTTCGTGACTTCATGCAAGAGCCAAAAATACCGGCCTGAGATATGGGACCAAATTCATCCCTGTATTTACACCCACATAAAACTAGAGCAATTACCCCGTTGATTTCATCAAAATCACTTCAGCACTGAGCTAGAGTAACCAAGCAGCGCAATCACGTTTGCTACTGCAGACTGTGCAGTACTCCAGAGACTTGTGCAGAGAAATAAAGTTATTCTCCTCTGCAGAGTCCCCTCCAAAATTATGTTATTTCACGGTTGTACAATACATTTACTTATTTAGCTTTTACTGCTATGGAAGGGAATAACAATTGCCAGCTGTATCAAGAATTGACTGGTACCTATTTTTCATGTATGGTGCAATTAAAAAAATACTCTCCTGGGAGTGCTGTCAGGAGTAGGGGTGTCTTGGTCAACTTCCAATCTTATAATTGCAGGATGCTTTTAACTCATCTGAGTAATTACCATGCAGGGATGGACAACCCATTCCATCCCAGAGATAGTGGCATTTCTAGTCTAGACATTTTGATTTCTATATATACACCCCATATCTTTTAACTATCTATGTAGGAGGGTAGATGATGGTATCTAGCCTATCGCACACAGGAAACAGTTGTGGCTGGTTAATATGGGCTATCTATAGTATTCAATTATTAGGGCCCACTCAATGCTCGTGATCAACAAAAACAGGATGTCCTAAAGTCTCTTTAGGATCTCTCTAGAATGTAAGATAGGGCAATAGAACATTTCATCTATATGACGTGTCATCTATTTGGACTTCTGTAAAGCCTTCGACATGGTCCCCCACAACATCCTTCTCTCTAAATTGAGGAGATATGGATTTGATAGGTGGACTGTTCAGTGGATAAGGAATTGGCTGGATGGTCGCATCCAAAGGGTAGTGGTCAATGGCTCAATGTTCACATGGAGACCAGTGACAAGTGGAGTCCCTCAGCGGTCCATACTGTGACCAGTGCTGTTTAACATCGTCATCAATGACATAGACAGGGGAATCGAGTGCACCCTCAGC